ACCCAACCCTCCCCGATGTGGGCAACGCTGCAATGCCAGAAAGAGGCACTAAAACGGCAACTTTCGGCACATCTCCAAAGTACTCGTTAGTGAGCACCGCTTACGGTGCCGCTGATCGAAAACCAGGGCGACAAGACCGGCCGCAAGGTGGCTCCGTACATGTAGTTCCGCCCAGTATGGTCCCCCCGTTTGGTCTCCTGGTATGGCCCCCCCGTATGGGCCCCTCGTATGATCACGCTGTACGGTTCCCTCGTAGGGTCCCCTCGTCGGGTCCCTCCGTATGGTCTCATCCTTTGGTCCCCTGGTATGGCTCCCTGTATGGTCCCGTCCCCCCATATGGTCCTCCCCTCACATGGTCCGAGAGGCCGAGAGGGGAGATGACCGCCATGCAACGCGCGCCCATGGACGCAATAAAACTGTTCGGCATCCCCTCACTGAAATTCGCCATCCAGTCGGCGCGTGTGAGACGCTTTTCCGATTGAGTCGTCGCGTCGTCGTCGTCGTCGTCGTCGTCGTCGTCGTCGTCGTCGTCGTCGTCGTCGTCGTCCGTCGACGTCGTCGTCGTCGTCGTGGTCGTCGTCGTTGCCAGTCCCAAGGTAATTGAGAAACGAAGAAACGTCGTTGTTCAGCCGATTGCCTCCCATTTTCCCCTCCCTGACGGGGGGGGGCGGGGGGAGGTGGGGAAGAGGGGGCGGGTGGGATGGGGTGGTGGGTACGGGGCGAGGTCCCGGGACATTATGCCGCACCCCCACCCCCCACTGGGGTCCCGCCGGTTCCCTGGGGGGTCCCGGGGCGATCGCCAGCGGGGGTCCCGGAGAAAGTCCCGCTGTCAGGGTCGGCGGCGCCGACCGCAAGGCCTTCGTGATATCTGCCCGCTCAAGGCACGATCATATCAATACTCACTACCTGCCGAGGTTCTCGAACATCGATCCTCCAATCAATCGGTATGGACAAATCCCAGCCTCGGAGCATCCGCTTCCGTCGCCAATCGTCGGGTAGGCCATTTTCCGCGGACTCCACCGTGTATCAGCAACTTTCGGAGATGCCTCTCGAAGGTGCTCGGAGGCTTCCAAACAAGGCTCTCGGGTGTCGTCACGATTTTCGTTCCGAGATTTGGGGTTGTCTTCGAGCGCTGCGCAGCGAGGAGATCCGAAACGTTTTCGTCGTCGCTGCCAGTTGGTGAGAGAGCACAGAACCACAAGAAAACTGACAATATACGTTCAGGACACCTGTTATTCATGCTAGCCCTGAGAAAATATGTCCCCGAACGTCCAGGGGCGTGCTTCGATCAGAAGTTGGACCGGAATCCAGTCGCGGAGATAAAGCATTCAAAACGTCGAACGTCGAGAAGTTCGAGGGCGAATAGAGGTCTACCTTCCAGTAACCGCTCGTCGCCATGGCGACCAGTCCAACGTTCATCGTGTCGAGCTGTTCGCGCCTCGTCTATAGCACGTCGCGAAGAGAACATCCCAAACAGCCCCAAATCTCCTGAAACGGCAGTGACGACGATGACGACGAAGCCATGCGCCCCGTGCGCTTTGCGAAGCGAGGGTGGCCCTTTTAAAATACCAGCCCACTTCACCCCGCCCAGTGCTGCGCGCCGCCGAAGCACGACGGCGACGACGGCGGCGACCACGTCCACCGACGAACCCACGACCGCAAAACCATACATGTTCGGATGCCCGCGCGGATTTCTTGGATCGGCGTTGGACACCCCTCCCCAGCGCGCGGGGCGCGCCAAGGGCGCGCCGGAGGCGCCGCTGGGGAGGCCGAGCGCAGGTGCGAGAAACCCGCGCGAAGCTCCGAAAGCTCGCGCATGCAGCGTTCTCTTCCGCGAGGCTCCGACACGAAGGCGTCGACGTCGGCGTCGTCGTCGACGCCGCTGGCGCTGCCGTCGCCGTCTGCCATGAAGTCGGGCCTGTCCCTCTACAGGAGGAAAATCCAAAAATAGTCTAACGTTAGTCTGGGGACCATTTTTTGAGCATCTTCTGCCCGTTTGGGGGTATTCTCGGGTCGGGCGAAAGGGGGGGATAGCAAAAGGGGGGGGTTTGAGAATCCGCTCACGCAGCTGATTTTCCCGGCGCCTCCCGGCGCCGGAGGCGGCTATGTATCGAGGAATGGGCCCCTCGGTGAGGCCGAAACCAGCTGCATGCAGCAAGTTTCGTACCCCCCCCTTTTCCCAATCCCCCCCTTTCGCCCGACCCGATATTCTGTTTTTTTTAGTATTTCTTATTTTTCGTCGAAAACCCCCCGGGACACGCCCGACTTACGTCTGCCGGGGCGGGCGGCTGCAGCCAGCGGGGCACCGACCGTCAGGGCGCCGGCGCGGGTCCTCGCGCGCTGCAGCGGCGCGCGGAGGAGAGCGACGGCCGCGCCCCGCGTGCTCGGCCTCACGGTGTTCGACCAATGTAGGGGGAAAACAAACCTACCTCGCTTTTGACCGCCCTCGCTTCCAAGAGATACCAAACGATGCCAAATTGCAGCCTGTACTGGTCAGGCCGCTTGACGAGGAGGCGTATGGTATGACTTGGTTTTGCCTGGAAGCGAAAGCGGGGTAGGTAATTCACGCTCTGACAATGGGCCCCTCGTGCGTGGGTCGTCGTCTGCCGGACTTCGTCGTGGAAGCGCGCAGTGTCTCCGAGATTCAATCCCGTCTGCAGGCCCTTGCGCGTTCCCGCGCAAATCACTTTGATAGCAGACCGATCTCAGGCGTCTAGATACTTGAGACTAGCGCTCCTGATGATTTCCTGTCGATAGGCGTGCATCTCAGCTCCGTAGATTGCGCTTTTCGGCGGCCTTCTGGCGGGCTTCGGCGATTTCTGGCGGCCCTGGGGCGGTTTCCAGAGGTCTTCGGCGCCGAAAGCTGGACGGCTACGTTCCACAAGGGTCCGCGATCGAACGCCGAACCTCCGGGGCCGCTGCGGCCCACGGTGCAAGTCAGGAGGCGCGCCCGCGAGGGGTACGGAAGAAGTGGCTACGAAGCCCAACAATTCATATTGCCCAGAACCGACAGCGACTGCCGTGGGACAGGCGAGCTTCCGTCTCTAATGAACAACACGCGACGACACAAACAACTAAAGCAATTCGAAACGGCATGCAAACGTTGTCGGTCTTCTTCATGTCGCCCGTTTTCCCGTTCGATCCGGTCGTGCTGATTACGCAGGCGGCACCTGGGTGGCCAAGTTGCTGACAACCGAATAAATTCGGGATGCGTCGCAGGGCAAGATGAAGTGGTGTACCCAAAGGGCGGGGCCCCATCCCAACATAAATAAACCTTACAACGTCCGCCGCGATCTCTTCCGCGACTTGAAGAACCTTTGACCACGCGCCCATCTCAGAGGAACACCCCCCTCATCTTCACAATCATTCCGCGCCTTCTCCTGCCCATGCTCCTCGTCCTCCTCTTTTTGCTACTCCTCCTGTCGCGCAGTCGATGAAGGCTTCGACCGCGCAGCCTCCTCCATGGCAACGGCAACGGCGGCGGCAGCGAGACACCTCGCCTCCGCAGCTGATGACGGGCAGTTGGGACGACTGCCAATGCCTCGTCTAACGTGAACGACAACCACCTCCTCCTCCGTCTCCTCCTCCTCCTCCTGACGCTGCGAGTCTCGCGCGGTCTCTCTGCGTAGCCCCGCTCCTCCTCCTCCTCCTCCTCCTCCTCCTCCTTCACTTCCTCGCTCCCCCCCGCCTCCCCCTGTCCTCCCTGCCGTACCCCAGAGCTCACGAGCTGGCCTTCCCCCGCCCGCCCGCCACCTCGCTATCGCTCAGACGTCCATTATTCGTGCACGTGCCGGTGTCGCGCGTGTGCTTTCAATTCCCCAAGCTGACCGAACCTACTCCTCTATGGTTCTCGCCGAGAAAACTACACACCTCCGAACGATGCTAAGCCACAACCCGGCCACCCGTCCCAAGTGCGGCAAAACAACCTCTGCCGTCCCCGCCCGCCATCCCCACCATCTCCTCGCTCAGGGGGAGGGGGGCGGGACGCGGCGAGGAGCGGAGAGAGGGCTGATTTGCCCCTGTCTGTGCAAGTTCAACGGAACGATTGTAAGCAAACAGTGAACAAACCCGTGTGGCTTGCACATGAACAATGGAGGGGAGCTCGCGAGAACGACTGTACTCTCGCCCCGTCCTCTTCCACGCGCTGGCCCGCATGGCAGCAGCATCTGGAACAGTGATATCATTATCATTCACACGCGTGCAGAACGATGGTAATGAGGATGAAAAGCCGATATCTTGGAAACATGAGCCAAAGAGGCAATGGCAACGGTCACATGGAGGGCCACATGTGACCACAACCCCTCGGCCTGATGGCGGACTGAACAACTTGAGCCAAGGACCCAGACCCCCGAAGTCGTGTTTTTTTTCACAACGTCGATCCCCAGAGGTCTGGACCCCTTTCTTGGGAACAGTTGTTCATCCTGTGTGATGTTGTTTGGAAGGTCCCGAAGCCACTGGAGGGCGAACATTGAGAAAAACCTCCCGTCGTGATTTTTTTCACGACGCGATGGATGGGGTCGGGGGAGGCAGCGTGCACAATGACATAAGGGAGGCTGCACGGAAACAGCCTCCTCATCCTCCTCTTCCTCCTCCTGCTGCTCCTGCTCCTCCACGCCCTCCTCCCCTCGCCCAGCCTTCCTCCCCCTCCCTCTGTTCCCCCTCCTCCCCCTCCTCCACAATTACACAATCTGAAAATACTCTCCCACTTCCCCTGATGGCGTCCCGAAGATATCCGACACCCCCCCCGCGTATTGTTTTTTACACACAAGATTCCCAGGAAACGGGTTTTCGCCTGTGTTTTGTTTCAAAATGCTGTTCTCGCTGAGGCGCCGGCCTCATTTCTGCTCCCGAATCGTTCCGAATCGTGCTCCCGCTGCAGCGTGGGCCTCATTTTCGGATCGGTGTTCGGCCTCCGTCGTTCAGGATGGCGTTCTCGCCCCAGCGCGGGCCTCTTTCTCGCGCGCCCATCCGCCCGCCACCACCGCGCCGCACCACCACCACCACCACACCACCAGCACCACCACACACAGCCCACCAGCACCAGCACCAGCACCAGCACCAGCACCAGCACCAGCACCAGCACACCATCACCACCACCACCACAACACCACCACCACCACCACCACCACACCACCACCACCACCACCACCACCCACCACCACCACCACCCCACCACCACCACCACCACCACCACCACCACCACCACCACCACCACCACCACCACCACCACACCACCACGCACACACGCACGCACGCACGCACGCGCACCACCACCCACTACGCACGCGCGCGCGGAGCCACAGGTCCGCTACGACACGCGTCCGCGGATAGAGAAAATCAGCGCCATGGTAAGGGATGGGAGGGAGGGGTAGGACGTCAGATATGACGCGAGCGCACCTAGCTTGCCCTCCCCCCTCCCTCTCCTCCCCCTCCCCCTCTCTTCCCCTCCTCCCTCCCTTGCCCTCCTCCCCCTCCTCTCCCAGCCCTCCTCCCCCGACCCTGCTCATGCCCTCTCTCGCTTCCCCCTCCTCTCGACTCGCCCTCTCGCTCCTGCGCACGCCCTGGCCTGCACCGCCGGCCAGGGGGGGGGGGGCGAGGCGAGGAGAGGGAGGGAGAGAGGGAGAGAGAGAGGGAATGGGACCTCCGTTTCGTCCGCCTTCGTTCCATCCTCCTTCGGTTCGCCGCCTTGCGGATCGTACTCTTTCGTCTCCTGTCTCGGCGCCTGGGCGACTCCGAAGCCAGACGAACCGAAGCGGGCGAAACAAGGCGGACGAAATGACCTCTGGGCGAACTCAAGCGGAATCGAAGCACGGACCGACCGTCCCCGAGTTCCTGCAGGCCCACGATGAGATTGCAAAAAGCAAAACTCTCAGAACATAAGACCAATGTATTGCACCAGTACCGCCTCGGCCGGAAACGTTCCGGAAACGTCTTCCGCAGATCTGTTGGTGGGCCCGTGGGCAGGAGGAGGAGGAGGAGGAAGAGGAGGAGGAGGAGGACGAGGAGGGTGAGGAGGAGGAGGAGGAGGAGGACATGGAGGGAGGAGGAGGAGGAGGGGAGGGGAGGAGGAGGAGGAATCGGGGACGCCTCACTTCTGCCTGGGGGGGGGGGGCGGCAGTCCAGCAGGCCGCGGCGAGCAGCTGCACGAGGAACGGCGCACGCATCGCCGGCCTGCGGCGCCGAGAACCGGGAGGAGGAGGAGGAGGAGGAGGAGGAGGAGGAGGAGGAAAGGAGGAGGAGGAGGAGGAAAGGAGGAGGAGGAGGAGGAGGACGAGGAGGAGGAAGAGTACGAGGAGGGGGAGGAGAAGGAGGACGAGGAGGAGGACGAGGAGGAGGAGGACGACGAGGAGGGGGAGGAGGAGAGAAACCAAGAAGAAGCGGATCGAGGGGGACAACGGCAACGGCTGACACGCATGAGCATGGAACCTCTCTGACGTGACTGACACACCTATGGAACCTAACTTCGCGCATCGCGCCCCGCGATCCGCGGTGATCTTCGCGCCCTCGAACTGCCCCCCTGGAGAATGGCGCCTCTCCAAACAAAGCCGCGATGCGCAACACGCGATTATCTTCAGGGCCCTGGGGGTGATCCTGTAATCAGATGTCTGTTTGCGTGCGCGACCTCGGGTCGAATTGACACCAAACGCCGCGAGTCAGATCTCGGCGCAGTGTCTCCGCTCAGCCGATGGTGGAAACTTGCCTGTGTGTGTGTATGTGTTGTGCGCGCGGGTGTATATATATATATATATGCATATACACATATCTATGTCTATACCTATATATACACATATATACATATACATATGTGTATACATGTGTATACATATATATATATAGATATATAAGTGTCTCCCCCTCTTGGGGTCCCCCGCTCGAGCTGGCTTCCTCTCTTGAGGCGACAGCCAAGGCCGTGGTCCTTCCATTCGGAGTCGGTTCTCGCTGCTCCTGCGTTTCCGCAGCCTCACGTGCACCTCTGCCGCCTGACTCCTTCTCCCATGGTCTCCGTGGCTGTTTTTCGCTGAGCTTGGTGTTTCCCGCTGTGGCTCCTTGGCTGGCCCAAAATTCCAAAAGTTACCTTGCTTCCTGTTCCTGGTCGGCTGCAGTTGCCGTTTTCTTACGGGCCATGCTTATTGCCTCGGCTCGTCACTGTCGCGCTGTTTCCTCCTCATCCATCCCTCTCTGTCCCACTTCTTTCCCTATCCCCACTTTCCTCGCCACTGTCACCTCACGAACGTTGCTGTCGATCCCAATGGGAAGATCCAATTTTTCCACGCTGTGTGAGCTGGCCCGGTCCGCACCCCTCCGCTTGAATTGCGCTCCTCCGCGCGTGGCCGCGACGCCAAGAAATTGTGTGTCCGCGTTCCCGAGACTGCGGGCTCATAGGGACTTTTTCTCGCAAGGATTTCTTTCTGCCGTTCCACATTCTGTTTTGGGGCTCGGCTTCAATCCAGCAGGGGCGACAGCGAAAATGAAGTGCGCCTGACATTCTGAAGAAAAGGGAATGATCACAGATGCGACGACCAAAATCAGGAAGAACCCTTCGACGAAGGCGGGCCGCGGCTGAATATTGCTCGACACCGATATCTGGTGTGAACACGTGTCAGCCGACGGTCCGGGTAAAGCATGGGGCCCGACACCATGCTGGCAGCCGTTGAGGTGTTTGTGCGTGTGTCTACGCGTGCACAAACGCATGCTACAACATCGCGGAGGATGCAAATGTGTATGTCTGTGCGCTTTCCGTGAGTCGATCTACTCGTGAAATGCGCAGTGAGAGCTACCCGAAGCATCGAGCCTAACAGACAGGCGTCCTGTTCATTGACCGAGCCCCCGCGGATTGCGCGCCCCCCGCGCAAACAGCCCGTGTTTGAATTAGCGTTCCGGGCGGGGCCGCCAAAGGCATCCCTACAAACGCGCCCCCCCCCCCCCGCCCCAGGCCTCGGGCGCGGTGGCCGACTCGCGGGGCGCCGCAACAAAGACATCAGAGGTTCCCGAAGGTCCCAGGGAAGCCTCCCGGCCCCGAAGCCTCCTCAGGCCCGAAGGCCGAACAAGAAGAGCCGAGCAAACGAATGTCACTACAGCGAAAGCTGTCCCTGGACGCGCCGGCACCGATAGCGACGACTCTGTTCTCTCCCCCGTCGGCCCCGCGCAGGCCCCGTGCATCCCTGATAGTTGCTTCAATGATCATGGCTTGCAGCAGGGGCCCGACCACAAGAAATCTTCCACAAAAGACCCAACCCTGAGACCCCAGGACGCCCATAGTTGTTTGGCGTGGGGACGTCACGCTTTCCGTGGCAAAACCATCGGAACCCAAGAAACCCAAGGCACCCTGGAGGCGAGCAGGGTGTTTCTTGGCATGGGCCTCCACTGTACTTGCAGCAATGATCATGGTTTATGCTGTGTTTTCGGGTCGTGAGGCGCATCAGGCCCCAAATAGACATCCCCAGACCGTTGGCTCTCAGCATGGCTGGACCTAAATATCGTTTGTCCTTTCCTTTTTTCGTTTTGTGTTTCATATGTCTCTACCTGGTTTCCCGGCCCCCCCCCTGCGAAAACGAAAACAAAACGCAGCCGAAGTCCAGCAAAACAGCGTTTACGTCCAGCCCTGTGGCTCTCAGCGTGAGAAACTAACTGGCGGCCCCCAGGAATGCACGGCGAAAAGCTGGCACCCATGAAACCGCGCGGTGGCCACTCTGATTCTTATCAGGGGTCGCCCTCGACCCCAAAACAACACAACTAAATGCCAGACGCAATTAACTTCCCCCCCCCCCACACAACAAATAAACGCGCTACAAGTTCGGACTGTGGAGGGGGAGGGGCGGACCAAATATGTCGAGAAACAGTGGGGCGAGGCTGGCACGGGCTCGGACGGCGGCGGCAGCAGCTGTCCTGGCCTCACCCTTGCGCCGGGAAATCGTGGAGCCCCTCCATGTTGACAAGGCCCGAAATCATGGTCCGAACGTTCGGGTTGCGCGTGGGCGGGGCACTCTTTCAGCTCAAACTGGTGCGCCACTTGTCCACCAACCATAGTCTCTGGCGATGGCATTCCTTCTGCTGGCACGTCGCCATCCGCCCGCCGATTCTGAACCAACGCTGCTGTGTTTTCTGTGGGAATGTTCTGATCCGCAGCCACTGCCCGGACCAGGCCAATCCAACACCTATCGCGTGAAAACATCATATTTTGTAAAGCCTCGAAATTCTCGTTCTCTATAAGCGCTTTTCTCTCCTCGTCGTATGCTCGGCCCTCCTCCTGCATAAACAAAAAAGAATGGTGGGTGTTTCTCCGAAACTGGCGCCGTCGTTCCCAACGCACCTGTCATGTACCTCGCGTTCTCCATCGATCCTTGCCGCTCTCCTGGTCGTCGCAACTCCCGAATTGCGGATCTGGGCGCCCGTCACTCCTACGGGCCTTTGCTTAAACGACCTGTGTCCGTCCAGTCTCCTGACTGGGGGTTTCCTAGACGACGCCAGGTCATCCACCCCGTTCCTGCTCGGGAAAGGGTTGTCCGATGCGGTTGCATGCGCCAGGCAAATTCAACAAAAAATGATCACGACAAACGGGCACGCCGTCAATGAAGGAATCGATGAGGAGGCATGATGAAAAATCACCACTCGGACCCCTGCCCGTAAGACATGTCACGAGACTCCTTCCCCCCTCGCATCCCGGTGTAGATCAAGATTCCCAAGACGCGTAAATACACGGTCGCACCATCGGCGCTGATGGGTGATAACCGATTTCCGGCAACTACAACATGGCCCGTGCGCGCGAAACCCGTGACATCGAAACTGCTTATATGTGCGGGCTACGCGCGGGCACATGGAACTCCGTCAACCATGAATTCGCATTTGCACGGGTCCTGCGAAAACCAAGGTGGCGCGCGAAGATGACCAGGAAGTTGTTTACCGAAATCGACCAGGTACTCTTACGGAGGGGAGAAGAGGATCGACGGGACGAACAATGGAAACCATCCCCTGCGTCGAAATGACTCTTCCACCCTCTGTGTTGAAACGCGGGATATTCGCATGGGTCGCATTCCCTGTCCTCCTCAATTGGGCCATTCGCGTGAACTATAACAACACCCAACAGTGCCGCACGATCCTGTGAAATAAAGCAGTGTTGGAGCCAGCGGAACCGACGAGATCGAATCGCACGAACCACTCGCAACAATAGGGATGTACACCCCCCCTCACAACGCAAAATCTGAATGCTCGGCAAAAATATAAATAGATTGTGCCGCCTCACTGCCACGCAACAATACATCGCTATGAAACTGTCGATGGAAGTCGGCCGCACGATCCGAGATTCCCCCCACTCCCCCGCAATAGGTACGTGTTCACCAAACTGCCGTTGAACACCATATTCTTGATTGCGACAGCCTTGCGGCGGGCACCGCCGACCTGGCCGGGGCGGGCCCGCTGGCGCCCCCCGGGACCCCCCCAAGATCCGCCGGGACCCCTAGGGAGGCGATGCTCTGACTCGGGATCCCCATGCCCACTCACCCCCTCCCCTGCAGGGAAGGGAAAGGGGGGGGAATCGACTGAATACGATTTGCTTTTCTTAGTTGCTAAATTTCTCTGGTGCTGAAGAGGAGGAGGAGGAGGAGGAGGAGGAGGAGGAGGACGACGACAATGACGACGAGGGCAAACCTCTCGCACGCGCGAACGGGCCGGCGGATTTTACGCGGAGCCTTGCTCGATCAGAACTTCCCCAGCACCCTCCACACCAAACGAGGAGCTGCTGGACCTCTTCCAACCTTTCAGGACCCCACCCCATCGAAATGGCGCCAAGATCGAATACGTCTCAAACGCAGCTTCGGGGACCCCTCGAGCTCGATCCCCTGCTTGCGATAGTTGCCCTTGATGTCCGCCGGCTGTGGGGAAACAACTCCCTTTTTTCTCAACATATTCGCAGAAACTCCCGCCTGTACGCTGGCGTGTACATGTAACATGCCACTCGTCAGTGCGAGCGGCAGCCTCCTTTGCGCCCGCAAAAAGACTCATGCGGAACATGTTTTCCACACACGAACCGTAGCTGCATCCCACTGTCTGCTGGGTGGTTGGTTCCACCACGTGGACCAAATGTCTGTCAGCCTCGCCCTCCGCACTCTGAACCCATGTATCAACACACGGCTCTAATACATTGATGGACTTGTCTGGCGCTGCCACGTCTCCCTGGAAAGCAACGCCCAATCCCCAACACCAGCAAAGCGAGCAAACAATACTTGAGGGTGCCGATGCCGAACTAGAGCGGCGCTTCCATGCGGAAGCGCATTATCTATCATCTCGTTCAACTTACTGTGAATCACAGGCGCGAAGGCGCTGGCCTGGAAATGCAATAATGCCGCCCAAATCAAACCATGACGCTTCCAAACGCGACCGTGCCACTTTCACTTGAAGAAGCGGTTGTTCTACCATGCGTCTGGGTTGAATTTACTGGAACTGTCCGAACCGTATGCCTTTGTTGCCCCAGCCCCCAATTGACCAGAATATGCCGTTCCCACGAGCTCTGGCAAATGCACCACGCGTTTCGCCTTGCATTTCTCGTTGCTGCTACCTTTTCGGCAGCCGACAACCTGAAATGACTGTCCATATCTGTGGCGTGCCCTGCGTGTATCTGGCAGTGAATAGTAAGGACTGTTCAAATCGGTGTATGGATGCTCCATGCGGCTGTGACATCAGAGCCATCAGCAAACTTTCCCTTGGCGCAGACCAGCTTGGAACTGCTCTCCTGGCATTCGTCCGCCCCAATATGCCAACGGCACCAGTGACGTCCTCCCGTGCTTGTACATGTGCTGGCTGGCGATCAACAAGAATACATACCGCAATCGGATCATGCACTGCCATGGCCGAGACACCTGGTGGACTACCCCTCGAGAGATCGGTCATGCCTGGTGCATCAGGTCGACTACCCTTCAAACGATCAATAATGCCATGGGCACCTGGTCGGCTACCCCTCAAAATATCAGGCATGCCGCTGACATCTGGTCGACCGACCACGACGAGGCAGAGGAGGAAGACGACAACTGGCTTGCTCGGTGCGTAGCTGGGGAGGGGCTCGAAGCTTGCACCAGATCGTCTGGTCGGCCAGGGAGTTCGGTGTAGAATTTTCGCGTAGGGAATCGACTACAGAATTGATTCACCCCAGAATTGATTCCCACGTCGAACCCACGAGCAAAAAATACGTATAGTAATCAGCCGATCTACGAAGCATGGTTGGCATGTTTCGTAGATTCGACTGGGCACAAGTTTTGGGGCAAATCGATTCTGAGGTTCGATCCCCTACTGGTAGCCCGCGCCCCGAGCTATTCGAAGCAGCCCACGCTCAGGGATGCTGGATCACCGAATGTTAGGCTTAGATCGGGCGCGCCCCCCTACAAGGGGATTTTCAGCGAAACATGAAAACTTCACAAATACCCCCAAATACTCAAACATATTCAAACATACTCAATGATTGAACAATACAAACATGAAACAAATATTCAAAAATATTCAAAAACATCGTCCACAGACTATTTTTTGACTATTCTTGAATATTCCTCCTGTAGAGGGACAGGCCCGACTTCATGCCAGGCTGCACCTTCGGGGGGCCTACCCTGCCCCACCGCGCCAGCTCTCCGCGTCGAGCCCGCGTCGAACCCGTGCCGGCCGTGACGAACCCACGGCGGATCGACGTCGAACCCTCGTCGGATGCGCGCCGAAGCCACGTCGGCCCCGCGTCGGGCAGCAGAGAGAACCGCCAGCAGTAGGATTAAGTCGGGCATGTCCGCCTACAGGGGGATTTTCTACGAACCTATATATATATATATATATATATATATATATAAATGCCCCAACATGGCCAACAAATAATTCAAAAATCGTCCCGAGACTAGTTTTGACTATTGTTGAATATTGCCCCTGTAGAGGGACTGGCCCGACTTAACAGCAGGACGGACGAGGTCCCCCCAATGTGTAACGTGACGATGGCCTCGGCAGGGCCCCTCGGCTGCCTGGCCGACCAGACGACGTGGTGCACACATCGAGCGCCTCCGAGCTGCGCAGCCCCCGGTCGGCCTGGCCGGGGGCCGAAGCCGCCCCAGAAGCCCAAATCATCAACCCTCGACACGTTTCTCCTCTCAGCGTCCCAACCTCTGCACATTTTCTCGGGGTGGAGGGCTCAGGGTGAAATCCATCTGGGCTTCTGCACCTCGAGAATCAATCCGTCCTGTGATTCACCTTTTGCAGACTCAGGCCTCGAAAGTCCATCGAAACGGCACTTCAGATACATGCGCGGAGGACCTGCACGGCGGGAGGTGGCCATCAAGCCGGCCCCGTCCAGAAAGGGAAGCAGCCAGGGCTCGAGGACACCGCGAGCGGCGGAGGACGCGGGGAGAGCGGAAGGGAGAATCCATCGAAACGGCATTTCAGATTTCACCCGTGGCCCTCCACCCAAGGAAAATGCGCGGAGAACCTGCACGGCGGGAGGTGGCCATCAAGCCGGCCCCGTCCAGAAAGGGAAGCAGCCAGGGCTCGAGGACACCGCGAGCGGCGGAGGACGCGGGGAGAGCGGAGGGGGAAGAGAGAGAGAGAGAGGGACTCACGCGCTGCGGCTCACCAAGGGGCCGACCCAAATCACAGTTTGGCGATATCGCAGGCCGTCTTCGCTTCGACTTCGCTTTGCAGCCAAAGTGGATGGAAGACAAAACGAGGGATAACGAAAACAACACTGTTTAGACCGACCCCTGCGGCTCACCTCTTGCCATCCCTCGGGCGTCCATTCCCCGTGCATGTTTCGGCTTCGTCCGCTAGTCTTTTCGCAGGATGGGCCAAGATGCTCCTCGATGGTACCCGCCGAGAAAGACAGGAACGCACACGTCCGAGCGATGCGAAGACCACGGCTGCTCGCTGCTGCCCCCGTCCGACGACGGCGTCGACGGCGGCGGCGGCGCGACCATTGCAACGGCGGCGGCGGTGGGCTCGGTGCGCAGGCGGGTCGGCCTGGGCACTGCTCGCCTCGGCCCGCCACGGGCCGTCATGCCTGGGGGGGTCGGGGGCAGCCGAGGGGCGGGACGGGGGACTGCATGCAAGAGCAGCCCTGGGCAAGACATGGCCCCCAAGAGGGCCTCAGACGGCCCCAGAGACGGCCCAAAAGGTGGCCCCGAGGGGGCCCCCAGGAGGGCGTCTGGAGGCAAGAGAAATGGCTCGTTGTTCCATCGGTCTCTGAACGATCTTAGCGATCTCCCCTTTTGCAGCTCTCGGGGGCCCATCGCGGCCCGGGCAACTTCTAAGATGGTCCCAAGACGGCCTCGCAAGAGTGACCCCTGCCGCGCGGCTTCATGGGGGCGCGGGAACTACGAATCACAGCTTGTCTTACACTCGGGAAGCTCGCTGCCATGACTGAGCACAGTGGGCTCCTCGGCTGTGATCTCGGCATTCACCATACAAGTCACTGGAGGGTCTGAACTGGTTGGGGTGGGGCTCCAGAAAATCTGTCAGGAGGAGGGACGGAACCAACTCCGCTCGAAGTCCACCGCTGAAAATGTATTACCCTTTTCAAAGTTCAGAGGCCAGAAAACGGCCCCGAGAGGCCGAAGACACCAAGAAACCATCCCCAACCCAGAGCCTCCAACGTGCTCGTGCTTCTAGTGATCCGAGTCCACGCAAACCTAGGCCACTTTGGCTTTGCAAACTCCTGCAGGACCCTCGGCGCTGGCCCGGGACTGTGCAATTACCCCTGGCTTTGCAAGATCTTGCAAGATCGGGCGCCCTGGCTGACCCCCGTTTGCGTTGACCCCCGTCCCTTGATTTGGACGCCCGAAATGGGTACCGAAAGAATGGGTACAATGCCCAACAACAAATGTTGTCCCAAACCAACAGCGGCCGCTGTTGGGCAGGCGGCCCTCTGTCTCAAATGGACACAGGCCGCGGCGCCGCGGACAGCGAACCCTGTTCAAAATGAACAGGATCCGCTGTTGGGCATAGTACCCATTCTTTCAGTACCCATTTCGGGCGTCCAGACTTGAGCCCCGGGGGAGGAGGAGGAGGAGGAGGAGGAGGAGGAGGAGGAGGAGGAGGAGGAGGAGGAGGAGGAGGTCCCTTGAGCCCCGGTGGGCCACCTCGGACCCCCAGCCGGCTCCCAAACCCCGCCGTGCCGCCCAGAGGGAGACGGGGGCCTGCCGCGGGCGCGGGGGCGGAGCCCGGGAGAGAACCCGCCCTCGAGACGCCGCGGAAGGGCCGAGGAGCCGGCGGGGGGCGAGGACTTGGCGGCGCGCACAAGGGGGTGGAGGGAGGGGGGAGGGCTTCTTAGAAGGAGGCTGCTTCTTAGAAGGCGCCGGCCTTACATCTACAGAGAAGGCCCGCGCCTTCTAAGAAGCAGGGGTGCTTCTAAGAAGCCCTCCCCCCTCCCCCCACCCCCCTCTGCGCGTGGCCAAAGGACGGGGGGAGGTTTAGGTCGGGCACGTCCCCCTACAGGGGGATTTGGGAAGAAACACCAAAAATAGTTAACACCAAATTCAGAAGAATGGTCAAAAAAAGTCGAGCAATCGCCCCCCGACTACTTTTTGACGTTTGTTGAATGTTCCTCCTCTAGAGGGACATAACCGACTTAAGGGGGGGTCCCGGGCATCGAGGGTCAGAGCTTCGCGGATCGACCCACCCCCCCCCGGGCGACTGGGAGAGGGGCGGAGGCAACGCCAAAAAAGGGGGATTGGCCCAAGGGGGGGTCAGAGGATCACAGTCGACCCGCATCACAAGGATGCGCGGTAAGGATGCAAGGGCCTCGGAAGGCCACGCCGAAGCTTTTCGAGCGGGGCGCGGCCAACGAAAGTGGCCAAGGATGGGCCGAGGAGGCGAGGATGCAAGGGTACCCTTGGGATGGTGGCCCATCCTTCCTATTCGGGCTTACCGTAGGTCGGGCATGTCCCCCTACAGGCGGATTTTGGAGAAATCGCCCCCACATGAGTTCTGGACTAATTTTGAACATTCCTCCCAGGGACATGCCGGACGTACAGGTACGAGCTTCGCCCCCTGCAAGCGTCAAAAAACCTGGGGCGCCCTCTTTGGACGCCCGAAATGGGTACCGAAAAAATGGGTACTATGCCCAACAGCAAATGTTGTCCCAAACCAACAGCGGCCGCTGTTGGGCAGGCGGCCCTCTGTCTCAAATGGACACAGGACGCGGCGGCGTGGACAGCGAGTCCTGTTCAAAATGAACAAGGTCCGCTGTTGGGCATAGTACCCATTCTTTCAGTACCCATTTCGGGCGTCCCTCGTGGCCAAGGCTGGATCCGCCCCGAAATTTCCGGCAGGACCCACCCCGGGAGAGGTCCAGGGGGCGGACTGTGGACCCCTGGCTGGCGGCAACTCTCGAGCTTCGAGGCCTCCGGGCGCTCTCGCCGGAACCTCGGGCGCTCTCGCCGGACCTCGGCGGTATTTCGGGCTGGGCGAGAGGGGGGATAGGAAAGGGGGGGTTTGAGAATCAGCTCACGTAATTGATCTTCCCGGCGCCTCCCGGCGCCGGAGGCGGCCATGTATCGAGGAAGGGGCCCCTCGGTGGGGCCGAAACCAGCTGCATGCAGCAAATTTCGTACCCCCACCTTTCCCTATCTCCCCCTTTCGTCCGGCCCGAGTATTGCAGGTTCGGGCTGCTCTCCAAAAGCTGCGCATCGCCGAGAGCGCTCTGGGGGCGCCCAGAGCGTCTCGATAAGGCCACCGCAGAGCCAAGCTATCACCCGAAAGCCAGTGGGCAACGTTTGCGGGGCAGGTTCAAGGAGAGGATCGGGAATGTTCGAGGATCGGAAAGGTTCGATGATCGAGGAAGTTCGAGGATCGAGGAGTTTCGAAGATCGGGGATCGATAACGAACAGGATCGAGGATCGAGGATCGGGCCGTGAGCTCTGGGGTCCACTAATCAAAGAAGACGGTGAGGATGGGGGGGGAAACTGAGGAGGGAGGTGCGGCAACGGAAAGAACAAAGGCTGGCCAGGGGGGCCAGCGAGTGCCTTGCGCCCTCCTGTCGGGGCGCGCTCCAGGGGCCCTCTGAGACGTTGCATCGCTCCTCCTCCTCCTCCTCCTCCTCCTTCTCCTCCTACTCTTTCTCCTCCTCCCCCTCCCCCCCCTCCTCTTCCTCCCACCCCATCGTTTTCCTGTTTCTCCTCCGTTTCCTCCTCCTCCTCCTCCTCCTCCTCCAACTCTTCTGTGTCTTCTCCTTCTTCTTGTTATACCTCCTCCTCCTCCTCCTCCTCCTCCTCCTTCTCATCCTCGTCCTCCTCATCCTCCTTCTCCCCCTCGTCCTCCTCGTCCTCCTCCTCCTCTTCCTCCTCCTCCTCCGCCTCGTCCTCCCCCCCTCCTCCTCCCCTTCCTCCTCGGCCCCATTCCTCCTCCTCATCCCCCGGCTCCTCCTCCTCCTCTCTCTCTCTCGGCCTGTAGGCAATTGGTCCAGGCTGCCTGTCCTGAAGAAAACAAGGGGTGCATATTGAAACGTCAATGCGAAGGAAGGGGGGGGGGAGGCACCGCTGGCGTACCCCCGAGCAGTCCCCCTGTTCTTGTCAACGCGATCCTCTCCTCCGTAAGGATCCTCTCCCCTGAGGCCCCAGGCAAGAACAGCTGGCCAACAACAGGCGGCGTCAGAGAGATCGAACTCAGACGCGCGGCGTTCCCCCTTCGCTACGTCAGCTGTGTGGTCTCCCTGCCATCTAAGGGGATCTACGTTCATACCTGACGCAGGGACCATCTGGGAAACGAGACCCCCCATCGGCCTCAGGGTAATTTTGGTGAGACTGGTGACCCCAGCACTGCCTCGGATGGCACGGATGTCATCGCGGTTCCATGGGGAGGGCTGGGTGGAAGGGAGAGCACGATTGGTAGGGAGGACAGGCGCACGAGCGTGGACAGCAGCATGAGGCAAGAGACCAACGATCCTCCACATACGGTGTCCCTCCTGCACCAGCTGACTCTCTTTTTCAATGAGGGCATCTATGCTTTGTGGGGCCGACAAGGCCCGAAGGGGTCTCCAAAGGCCAGACCCCCTCTCGCTAGAATAATGCCTCGGGTCCCACGACGACCCAGGAGGAGACGCGAAGATAGCGTGCACCTTGAACGAAATAACGTGGTGCACCCAATCCATGGCACGGTGGTGCTCAGAACTTTTAATTCGCACAACGTCACACGCAGCATTAGAGGGCACAAAATGCTGCAAGGCACATTGAATGGGGGACCCAAACCCATCGCGACCACCCAAGACGAGGATGCAGCACCTCTGGAAGGGGGGGGGGGGCGCCAAAAGCCAGGGGACTTGACGTCAGACTCCTGGCGCGGCAAAGGTCCGCGGGCAAGAAGCGGCGGATCAACGAAAGCCTCTCGGGGTCAGCGATTCCCCACGGGTGGGCCATAAGTCAGCTTGCGAACATGTCTACCCGCAAACTTATCATGCTGGCCACGACGGCGGCATAACTTCTGGTCCTGTCTCGTCTGCCCACGAACACTGGAGTCAACCTGACATATCGCTATACCACTGGCAAGCCAACCATAGAAACACTGCGGAACCTACGAAGGTGATTGATCGATTGATCAATCTCGCACGCCCGTGGAATTGCGCGAGGCATTTCTGGCAGAGACTTCCGTCAATGCACTGCTCAGGGCCATGTGTGGAAGCGTGCAAAATCGTGCAATCGCCTCGCCAGGCAGCAGCGGTAGCCCAAGTGAGCCCGCACTCATAGCAAGCAAAATGAAACTGCTCCTGCTGGCCCGTATTAAAGGCGGTTAAAGTGAGGGAGAGGACGGGGCCCGCCCAAACCGACGCTCCTGAGCATGTTATGCTGCAATCTGTATTCATGCCAGTCAGAGACCACGTACTTCGCGCGGATCTCAAACCTTTTAACCAGGGTCAAGAAAGTCTGCGGACAGCAGGCAGCATGTGAAATCCAATCGGCGAACGGTTCCGCGCCCATAACTTCCTTTTTGCAAGTGAGGGAGGTCGCCCATCTGAGGTCCTCACTGAGAGCTCGGGGCCACATGCGCGGGCGAGCAATGCAAAGGTCG